TTTTTCTATGTCTGCTAAGAGAACCAAGCCCAGAGAAAGATTAAGAGGACTAGGAAGGGGGGCACAGACACTTGGAGGACCAGGGACCGGGAATAGCACCAGGTTCCCTGGGAAGAGGCATGGCCAAGAGGCAAAGCCGGTGGGTGCCGCATTGTGGTTCCCCATGCCAGCTGCACAGCACACAGCTGAGGAATTGGGCAAAATGGGTCAGGCCTCCTGCCCCACAGTTCCCCCTGTGAAACGAGGCTAATAGAGTGGTTACTGCCTGAGATCACTGCAATGGTCAGTGAGTTAGCACAAGTGGAGCGCGCAGGAAGAGGTCGGCTCCTGAGAAAGCCCAGCCTTTGGCCTTGTGCTCCCTTCCTACCCCTGACCTCCCAGCACCTCCTCCATCCCTGAAGAAGGCCGGGAGCCCGATCCCCCAGACTCGGAGGGCCTGATAGCTTACTAAGTGTCTTTCCCCTCTTGCCTTTTATAATCTGAGTAACTGCCAAGCTGGAAGATGGGGAAAGCTGCCATTAGCAGCAAACTCCATTTTCTGGGTACTGCCAGCCCCATGTGGAGATAAAGGACATTAGTCAACCCCAGCACTTTGCTGGCTAACCCACCCTGCACCTCAGAACAGCGTGCCATGCCCATCCCAGCTGTCTCTCCAGCCTGAAAATCAGAATCCCCCAGACAGTCCTCTTTTCTCTCTTATGTCCCCATGCTGGGGGATTTATGGCTTGGAGACCCTTGATATTCCCGAGCAATAAGAATCACCAAAAACTAAGGAACAGAAAACACGTTTGACTGTGTTTGTGGGTGTTTTCTTTTTTCCTAATGTGTTTACAGTGCAGCTCTCTTTATGGACTCTGTGATACACTAGCCCTGGGAATGGTGTCAGAAAGGCGAATTGGAGTCGCTGTAAATGGTCTCTCAGCAATTGCACTTCCCGGCCTGGTCAGAGCTGACCTCCACTCTGAGCCTCTCCTCTCTGAATCAAGGCCCAGCAGTGAGAATGTGGGGCAGCAGTAGATGCCCCTGTGCAGGTCTCTTGGAAAAGGGAAGCCTGGGGAGGCCTCTCTCCAAGTTCCATCTGGGCTGCTTTAAAAGGCAAAGGAGCCAAGCCCTGCAACAGAGTGCAAAACACTTCTCTCTTAATATCAGTAGGCATGACCAAATGGCCAGTGCTTCCCAAGAATTCCTCCCCTTGCTCTTGTGCCACCTCCTCCTCATTCTTGAGAGACGCAGACTCACAAGATGCTTAGGTCTGTCTCAGAAGCAGGAAGCCTCACAGGATGCGCAGTCTGCTGGGAGGTGGTGCTTTCACCCTGAGACCCTGCGCTCCCACTTCAGGCCCAGACTGTCCACAGTCCTCCAGCACACTGGCCCAGCGGGCACATCTTGCAGAGCAGCAGCTCCATCAGAAGGCCCCCACGGATGGTGTCCTGCATCTCCTCCCCTCTCCAGCCTCTTCACGACACCACTGATGTAGATGTGTGTGTGTGCATGTGTGTGTGTGTGCATGTGCGTGTGCGTACATGCCTGCTTCTGTGCATGATTCCCGATTGTAGGAATCATCCCTAACCTGGTCCCATTCCTCTTTATAAGTGTCCCTTCTCTCAGTGTAACTCATGTTTGTGGTTCCTGGTTTCCTCTGGGTAGAGACATGTTTAACTGCATGCCACACTGTTTCCTCCGCAGGGACTGCAGCCTTTGTCTCTTTCTCCTCTCCTTGGATCCCCAGGGGTCCAGCCAAGTAATTCTCATTCCTTCCGATCAGGTGATCAGGTCTGGAGAGCTTGCCTCAGGTGCAGGCCTGGGCAGGGCCTTCAGCAAGTCCATTCCTAGGGTAAAGGTGTGTTGGAAAAGGATGGCTGCTTTCTGACACTGGTAGGGACATTATCAAGGATGTATTTCTCCTGTAGAACGCAGAGAGGATACACTTGTGCTGCAGGTTGCTCAGTGGTTCATCCCAATGGAGCCTACCACAATGGCTTGCTCTTGGAAACAGATGAAAATGTCTTTTGCTGAATGGAAGAGGGGATGAATGTTGTAAAAAGGGGAAAAAAGAAAGGAAAATAAAAATAAAAGACTTGGGACCCAGGCCACAGGAATGGCAAACCTAAGAGAAACAGCACCATAAGAAATCACAAAAAATCACCCACTTCTTCTCTAAATGCTGTGAAGGAGAAGGTTATTAGTATACTGCATTCTGCAGTTGAGTAAGGAACTGGTTCCTCCATCTGCAACTCACTATGGGGAAGATTATAGGCAAGTCAGTGATTTCCAAATCTTATTCTCACCAGGGACATCCTAAAAATCTATCTTTTCAAGCTCCTACCTGTGACTAATTGAATTAGACTCACTAAAGACAAGCCTAATTTAAGATAAAATAAAATAAGAAAGGCTTTCAGGTGGTTATAATTCAGAAATCTTGGCCTAATGATGGAATGTAAGTTCCTGGGAGAGCAGACATGTTTGGATTCTTGTTTCCAGCACTAACAAGCTCCTGTGTGGCTAGAGACAGGCAGTGAGCACCTCTGAGGTTTCAATGTCTGTGTGTTGAAAAGGAAAAGATGGTGGTGGCTGCCCCTTGCTGATCTCACACCTCTATCATTTGGATCAAATATGTCACACTGTGTGAACCATTTTCCTGAATTTCAAATAACAGTGGAAAAGGCCACTGTGGCTATTACCACAAGGGGAAAATAACTCTATGCAAGAGTTAGCCAGATCCTTCTCTATCTAGGGCTGTGGGACCCGTCTTTGCCCCCAGGAAGGAGAAGGAAGGAGAAAGGGCAGACAGAAGAGGATCTAGAGGGAAGGGTGGCTCTCCTTAGGAAGCCTCTGTGTCATTTCCTTAATTCCATTAATTTCCTTCAATCCCATGGCTCTGTGAATGACTGTTGTCTCCCTGTACCCCAGGCATGGGTGCTCAGATCACAGCTCTGTCCTCTCTGGAGCCCCCTGGATTTGTCCTTCCAACCGCACCTTTCAACTGTCTCCTTGGCTTCTAGTCCAGATCCTCTGGAAGGTCCTAAGCATCCTTCTGGGACAATTTCTCCTCCCAGAGGATAACCTGTCCATGCCTCAAGGCACAACTGGCTGGCCAGTGCTCTCTTGCCTGGTGCTGCAGAGCCCCTGGAATCACTCATCGTTTCTCAGTGAACCTTCTGTTCCATGGAGTCAGGCTGGAGTCCAACAGGACCAGTCTACAAGGACATGTGTGGTCTTCAAGGTCTCAGATCACACACTCCTGACGCCACACCTTGCCCTGTCCGTGCCCTCTGCTCTGCCCCCTTCTCCCCTAGTCCTAGAGAGCCACCTCTCTCTTCTGGAGATGCCACACTCGCCCTGATGAGGAATCGCCAGGACTCACCCTTCCCACCATGAAGCTCTGTCCCACTCTCTCTTCTGGATGCTGACTTCCCAAGTCCTCCCTCCCAGCGTACCTGCTCTGCCTGACTCTGGTGGTCACTTGTCTGTGGACTGGATACAGGCTCACATCTGAGAAAAAGGAGCGGGAGCGGCTGGGTATGTCACCAGTTCCTACTTTGTGCTGGATCCTGTTCTGCGCTGAGTACCAGAACAAGAACTAACATTAAGTGACCGTGTACCCCATGCTGGCTATGTGTGCTTGCTCATTTAATCTTCACCAAAGACCTAGTTAAGTGGTGACATTATCATCCTACCTAGCCAGAGAGGAGCCCACAGCACAAAGAGGCAGGGTAATTTCCCAATGTCCTATGGTGACCCAAGGAGGTGCCAGCCAAGCCCAGGTGGTATGCAGCCCTTTGTTCATGTCACCTCCTTCTGCAGCTTATTTGTGTTGATCTTCACAATATTCCTAAAGTGAACGCCATCCTCTTTATACAGGAGAAACAGACTGCAGGGGAGGCAGATGTGAGAACCCCTGTGCACATGCACAATGGTTTGTATGATTTTCAACCCCACACTCTTCATAGTAAATCCACCCTAATGTCCTGAGAGGTCTCCAGGCCACTTCTGCACTCACAGGGAGGTTTGGATAAGCACAAGGTCACGTGGCTGGCAGGACGCAAGGAGGTGTATGGGCCCCAAGTTAGACAGCACCAACTCTCATGCTGCCATCACCCCCTTTCCTGTTCTTTCAACTCATCAGGGCCCGACCAGAGGAAGTGTCCCCTGGGAGCTGGGATTCTTTAATGCCACCCCGACCTCTGGAAACTTCCCTTATGTAAGAGACATGGAAGCCACAGGGGGCAATGGGACACTCGGGGAACTTAGTCACATGGGGCCCCCCTTTTACTTCAGTTCTTAGCTTATCTTTCATTTATGAGAAAATCATCGGGGTTGTCTATTTATGGTAGGAACAGAAAATTTCCTTTACATAAATTGATTAAAATTAGAAACACAGAGCATATTATGTACATAACAGGTGATACTAACATACATCAGTACCCCAAAGGCGATTTCACGAACATTTAGAAATATGGGACCAACCAGTTTAGGGCGGGGAGTATGATGAGTCCCTGCCACACACTGCCGGGTGTCTAACAAGCTCTAAGAACAAGAGTTTAATTTACTAACCAATGTGCAAGGCCACACTGTAGGAACAGAAATGCTGGCAGCGACCCCAGCTTGGTTCCTAACCATCAGTGGAGGCCTGACTTCCTCCTCTCAGGTCCCTTAGTGGAGCCAGTGACCCTGTTTATTACCATTTATTACTGTGTCCTCCAACAGGTCAGCCACTTCTTTGGCGAGTTTGGGTACAACTGTCTACACAGAAAGACACGTGCAAAAAATACAAGAAAAAAAGTCCAGAATGGCTCCTCCTGAACTGTAGTGAGCCAGGGCAGTGAGGAAACCCAGGCTCCCAGCAGCTCTGGCGGGAGCCTCGGCCTCCTGGGAATGGTGTCAGCTCAGGAACAAGGACCAGGGCTGGGCTTCGCTCCCTCCTGCTCAGGCAGAGTCCATCTATCCAGCTCACATTAATTCACCCAACAGACACAGATGATATTTCAAAACATTGACGTGTTGGGGCACAGAGAAAATTTACTTCCCAGGGCTTGTTCTGGTCAGACAAATTAAGATGACTCTCTTCCCACTTTGGATAGATGGTGTTCACTCTTACGACTTCTCTGCATGGAGAGAGTCTCTTCAGTTCAAGTCCCGAAGGATTTTTCCTGAGAAGTGTTATGAATATACCTTACCCCAGGCAAAGTTGCTGCATAATTCCAGGTACTATGAAAATGAAAATGAGGAGCCAGCCCATAATCTGTGTTTTATCTTATCTTTCCCCAAAGCCCCCGAAGCTTTCTGCTAGTGACACTCACTGACATAGCTGGCTGCATCGGAAATAGCTGCACTTTCTTCTGACTGTGTGGATTTGCTTCTCACTTCTTATTCCTGCAAAAAAAAAAAAAAAGTATGATTACTTGGTGATGCATCAATGTCCTACACACACACTGAAGGCTGTGACTGAGTGCTGGAGGCTGCTCAAGGCCACTTAATGTGTTCTAACCGAAAGCTCAACAGCCGGGTTACTGTATCCTCCCCTAAGAGATCTTGTAGAATGGGTCAGATAGTAGCACGGGAACCACAACACCCTAGAATCACAGATGTAATAAGAGGTCGATGGGGACACCAGCTCTCCACCAGGACCTCTGCCACCCCTGCATGGTGTCCAGCACTATCTGTCTTTGCGCTGGCCCAGCAGGAAGAGAAGAGCTCCTGAGGCTCCACTACGCATCCCGTGGCTCCACCTGCAGGGACCAGGGGCACCCAGGTGTGAGCACTGCTCGGGAGGGGAGTGCTGGTGTGCAGGGATTGTCATTGTGTCGTTCCATTCGTGAACACGCATCCATTAACCTCTGGGGAGGAGGCAGGACCCTCAGATGTTCGGTGGAATACACACAACCTTGCCTATCAGGGTGACCGTCAGGAGCCCCTGCAGCTACTGCTCTGACCTCAGGACGATGGTAACAGGACTTGCACAGGAAGTGACATCTACGCATTTCCTGTGACATAAATAGTAAGTGGAATCCTGGGAAAGCATTCTACATTACTCAGTATGGGCGAGAAAGACCACAAATATGTACTAGGTTATGACCCCTTATGTGTTATTTTTTTCCTTAACACATCTTCTCAGGTGTCCATGGCGAGAAACCTTATATCCATCCTATTTTATTCTCATACCATATTTAAAGGTTCATCAAAGTTGACCCTATTTTTCTAAAAATATTATTTATTCCAATCACAAAGACAATTCTTAAAAGTATCCCAGGACAGTTGGGTTTTGGGAGATTGACACCTTGACAGGTGACATGGTTGGAGATGCATCGCAACCTGTCAATAGCTGTATTTGTCCTCTCCAATTGTAATTTTGTCAAAACAAAAGGAGAATATAACATTTTCATGATGATGTTTTTTTGGGGTGTTTTTTTGGTTTTGTTTTTGTTTTTTTGGTACCGGGGATCGAACCTGGGTCCTTGCACCTGTGCAGCAGGCAGCGAAACCACTGAGGTAAATCCCCAGCCCAATCATGATGATGTTTTGGTTTGACTCTGAGAAGTCCTGAGATGCAAAGTCCAGCAGGTGAAATAAGACAACGTGAGCCTCTCTTGAGGATCACATCTCTTTGGTGACCCCACCAAACACTCCAGGAAAACGGCACCGAGTGCTTTGGTGTGGAAGAGGAGCCAGTGAAGGTCAGTTCACTCCAGGGGCAACAAAACAGTATTGGCTCAGTGCAGAATCACAAAACTGAGAGGTGCCCATGATCTCATTTAGGGATGAAGAAACTGAGACAGGTGACTCAAGGACACTTCCAAGGGAGCCGCATCAGGCTTGGCTGCCGACTCTGAACTCACCCTGGGGAGTGGGTCACCGCACAGCACACACATCCGTATCCGGACTCTCTCTCACCTACCCCTGTTCTTATCGGCAGATCAGGATTCAAGGCCCCATGCTCTCTGGGAAAGGTTCAGAGCAGTCTCAAACTCCACATGTCCAGCTCCAAACTCATGACCTACCCTCTACTTTGAGCGAGGATCATTGACAATGGTGGAAGCCAGCAACCAGAACTTCAGTCACGACCAGTTCTTCTCCCTCCTCCTCCATTCCTAACCCCTCTCTAGTCCTTTTAATTTTACTCCTTAGTCCTACATGGGGGTCAGTTTCTCTGTCTCCACTCATATCTAACCCAAGTCAAGCTCTTCCCCAAAAGCATTATTAAAGTGATAAGAAAATGTGTTGTAAAATATTTATAAACAGTGATAGCTAATTCCTCTTAAAATTACTACCAAATTATCAAAGATGTTCTCCAACGAGGAGTGCCCCTTGAGGGCCCAGTGCAAATCTCACACACACACACACATGCACACACATACTCACTCATGCACACACACAGGAAAAGGAATGAGGTATTTGCAAAACCAAAAAACATGGCACTTTTGGTCCTATGGAAATCCATTTAATGTCATTGATAATCAAAGAAATACACATTAGATACTATTGAGATGCTATTTATCAAACTGACAATAAAAATTTCTTTTTTAACAATAGAGATTTGGGAAAGTAAAAGGAAACCAGTTAGCGAAAATAATTTCAGAGGAAAATTTAGCAGTAAGTTTCCAAACCTCAATAAACAAATTTACCCTTTTAACATAATTCTACATCTAAAAACCAATCCTAAGGTTTCCTTTGGGGAAGAAGAAGGGCTGAGTATGATTGAGAGGGGCCACAGGACAGATTCTGTGGGAATGTCCCACCAACCCTGACCTGAGAGGTGGCCGGCAGGTCTGCTGGCATTGTGATAATTTACCAAGTGCTTGCCTTGAAATTCCTGCACTTTCAAAAAGAATGTACTAAAAACAACAGAAATGGACTTGTACACAATTTAACAACAGGAATTCTCATCATAGCAATGTTTTCAGTGGGAAAAAATTAACACAACCAGTCTAGCTCGTTGAGAATTAGCGAGAGCAATTAAAATACAAAGTAATGGGCTACCCTAAAAATTTAAGCCGCAAAATGCACAGTTATAATATTCAATGTGAGAAGATTCTGGGTGAGGTTTACTTAACATATGAGCCATTTTCATTATCTTTTCATGAAGCAAGTCAGCATTTTTTCCTCTGATGTTTCAACTTTCCAAGTAACAGGACCATTACCTCATAGGCATCCCGGCAATAATTTCTTTTGTGATCTATATTCTACTGCATTACTTTTGTTTGTTATTCTAATTTCCTAAGAGATTTTGAAAGTGGATTTGTATGCCCATTACACACTCTCACTGATCCTGGCACGAAGTAGATGCTCAGTAACATTTGCTGGCCGTAAAATGAAATGAGCCAGCAGCTTTGTGTCCACCTGTACACCCACTGTCTCACCCGGAGAGACCCTCCTCCTTGTCCATAGGGGCCTGACCGTGGGCTTGCGCACTCCAAGAGTGAGGACTCCATGTTCTGAGCACAGTGAAGCCCTGGTGCACCCCATGGCAGCTGGGGGGAGGCGGCCATCAGCAGCCAGCCTGCTTGCCGCTCTGGGAGCTGATGTGTGCCCTACTACGAGGCTTCAACACTGTCCTTCCCTGGCATGCTGTTCCATGGTCTCCGACCATGGGGACAGTCTTTCCACTCAGTAATAATGAAGAGCACAGCAGGAAACGGGCAGGGTAGAGGGCTGGGGCAAGGCCATGGTGAGGTCTCCTGATCGCCATGCCAACCACATTGAGTATGTTCTCTGTGCACGGCTCTCTGTATTTCAGTCGTTCCTCAATAAAATGGCTTGAAAAAAAGAATACAGTTCCTCAGTGATCCACATATTCTAAGAATACTTTCAGAGGCTCCTGGAGAGAGTTCAGTCCCCCACAGAAAGGGATCAGTGGTGGTAAGGGCCAGGATCGGCAGCACCACGGAAGCAGGGCAGCATGCTTTCTGGTTCAGGGTCTGCAGAAGTCTCCAGGACACGGCCCAGTCTGGTCAGTTTGACATCACCAGGTGCCAGGTGGGAGCTAAAGGTGCCCATGACCATCCACAGCCCCGTGGCCTCCTCCCACTCCCCATCCCTCTCCGACTGCTGTTATTTAAAAAGGGAGGAGATGAATGACCCAGCCCCTAAATCACACCTTGCTGAAAAGGTCACGCTAACAGAGTCGTGACTGCCTCATGGAGCCTGTTTGAAGGATTTAAAACCTCATCACCATGCCCAGGATGGTAAAAGAGAAAACAATAAGAGGAGCTGCAGTAGGGGCCGAAGACTAACAGCCGACAGGTTCCTCCTTACCCTGGAACCCTGGGGAGCAGACGTGCTGTGGGCCCACACTGTCCTTTCCGATTTTGCAGAGAGACTACAGGTGCCAGATGTGGGCCCCCCAGCCTGTCCAGAGCCCCCAGAGCCAGCCCCAGCTCCCCAGGTTTCATCCTCTGCTTCTCCTTGCTTCCTGACTCCTGTAGCCCACAGTGACACCGGGAGAGGCTTCGTGTATTTTTCGCCACATCCTCCTCCTGTGGTTGCTCCCCCAAGTTCCTGACCCTCACCGCTTTAATCACTTCTCAGGGCCAAGGTCAGAACCAGCTTTGGAGATCACAAGGGTCTTTGCATGCAAAGAAACAGAAATGCTTGTGATGAGACCTGCATTCAGCATCTCCCACCATTAGAAGGCGGATAGAAGTGTCCTCCAGAGTCTCTCCCTCTGCTTCCCCTGAGAAGTTACCCACCCATAACAAAACCTCAGCGTTCCCTTGGGCAAAAAGTCCCCAAGAGGAAAAACTTGGATTTTCATTGGGAAAAAATCATTATGATTTCATGTAATACTTTTGAAACAATTCAGTTTACATCAATGCCATTTATATGTGATTTTTTTTTCCAGGACCACAACCCAGGAATAATCCATGAGCCACTGTTAGGATAAAAAAGCAGAAGCCAAAAGAAAACAAAAAGAAAAAACTTGTGAAAGAACAGAAATTCGTCCCAAGCCGAGCCAGATGCGTGAATGAGTGGAGTGAGTCTGGTAGAAATATAGTCAGCCCTGTCTGTGCATTCAAGGTTCCCAGCCAAACTCAGACCAAAAGTGCCTGGGAATTATTTATATTTGAGTCTCTTGTGTTAGAGGAATCATAAGATGGTTAGGTATTTAACCTTGAAGGGAGGAGGAAAGGGACTAAAAGTGACCAAGATGAGCTATGGACCCGACCCACACCCGTGCCCCATGATGAATATAATTACTGTGTATCACAAGCATTCTAAGAATTTTTTTCGAATAATGAAAATATTTGGAAAAAAGTTGAGTTGTGCAGAGGGTCTCTGTTGTTGCCAGGCAGGAATGTGGATGCAGTTTTTGCAGCTTTTCAGGTTTTCAAGCAAATTTGGCATCTTCAAAAGTTTTCGCCCTTTTATCTTTCTCAATGGTTCACTTTATTTTTCATTATTTTGAATATTTTTATTGTATCAGTACACATTTGCCGCTCATGCAGTTTACAGTCGTCTTGGGCAGTGGCTACAAGTGCGTAGCTCAGCTTGTTTCTTTTTTTTTTAATCTCTTTTCCCTTTCCTCCCCCTCCCTCCATCCTAATAATTTGACATTTTTAAACAAAAGGAACAAAGCGCCTCTGAAAGTTTATCTGCCTCAAGGGGCAGCATTTCTTATTCTCTGCCCAGAGAGCACCCAACTGAGGGGTCCTAACCCACTGGAGAGGCACTGGGGGCACGTGCTTTGCTATCTAGCTGTTTGTTCGGTTGACTGGATTAAATGCACATATCTTTGTGGTCTAGGTCATGGCCTCATTCGCATCGTGTTCTGATCCTTATTAAAAGCCATTTCTCGAGCCACACACTCTGCCAGAAATGGGAAAATAGACTTAGTTGTAGTTGCCATTTCTAAGCCAGGAGTAGAAGAAGCCAGAGTGAGTTCTCTCTTGACACAGAGGAAATGAGCTGCAGCGGG